CGCGATTAAACGCGATACCGTCCTGTTCTTCCCCAAAACGGGGAGGGGAGGGGAAGGGAGGAGGAAGGTTCGAGCGTGCTGGTCGTCTTATCGTTTCCGACAAAATTACGTCGCGAAATTTTCCGATCGATCGACGATTTATTATTCGGAAAAATATATCTTTTTTCAGCACGCACGACGTTGCACGAGTTGAATGCAAAATTGTTGTTGTGGCCCGCTCGAAATCATTGTCGTGAGGGGCAAGGAGCTCGTCGATATACGAAATTCGTGTCACGCGTTGAACAATCGGCATATCCGTTCATCCACCTTTGTTCGTGCACCTTTCACGAGTCGCGCATTGTGGGTAACCGCTCGTCCGTAAAGGTCCAGTGGAGACACGGAGGAAGGGGTTGGTTTTTCGAACCCTTGAACCAGTGTTTCTTTTGACAGATGTGCCGATCGAGCAATATCGATGAATCTGTTGAAATGTTTGGGATATAAAAGTTTTCGAACAGGATGCCGATTGAGCATCGAGCCACGGCCTCGCCTCGTAGAGATACATATCGATGTTTTATTATACTTTATACACGTCTCCGCCGTGATAGATTTCATTGACACGAGTCGAAACACAGATGGAGAGGAAAAAGGAGAATTCATGGTTGAACTTTGACGTTATCGAACGTTATATCCTTTTTTGCAAAAAGGAGAGAAAAAAAAGACACGTGACGATCATCGAATGGCGAGACCATTGAAAAATGGGACCTCGCCTAACCAGCTCCCCCGCAAAGCGGTGATTTTTCGGCGAATTTTGGAAAATTACCGGAACGAAAATGGCGGCGGGCGGACAATGAGGCGGACGGGTCGAGGCAAGGAGATCATTCAGTTTTCGTCGGTGTTATTTAACGAACGAGCAGGGGACGGTGTCGTTGGATAAACATCGTTGGCGAAAGAACGAGGGCGGGTTGCTTTCTTCTTCTTCTTCTTCTTCTTCTCTAGCTACGAAAATCGGATCGTTTCGTTATGTTGAAAGGGCGGCAATTGAACAATAACGGCTAACATCTGGATCGTTTCGTAGAAAATTATTATATTCCATCAGAATTTCTCTAAATTTCTGAATATAATAGAAATTTTCTATTTGAAAGGGAAAAGTAAATAAGTAAAATAAATAAAATAAACGCGAGATTGTTCCTTTTCGTCGCTCGTTCCAGCGGCTCTAATTATTGTTGCAATTACGGGGAACATAATTGATAGGACGTGTTTGATGATTTGTCGAGAAATCGGTGACCAAACGAAAACAAAAAAAAAAAAAAAAAAAAAAAAAAAAAGAAAAAAGAAGAAGAGGGAGAGAAAGAGGGAGAGAGGAGAAAATCGGGCGAAACCGTGAATTAGGCAGCTGGCAGGAACAATAACGGGGAATGGAGAGCGAAGGGTTGCGTTCGTTTAATACACGGTTAAATGCGAATTGTCGTGGGCGCGTGCAACCACATCCTGTGCAATTTTTGTCACGCTTGCTACGCTCTTTTTTTCAATTTCTCTCGTTTCTTGGACGCCCACCACCAACTCGAAATGCGAAATGAGAGGGGCGCACGTACGAAATCGCAACCACCCACGAATTTCGAGATGAAAAATCAGAGGGTTGCTCGAACGGATTACCGGTTCACCGCCCCTCAACCGCGTCAACCGCTGTACGCACGAAACGATAATAACAAGAGGGCATCCTCCTCCTATCGCGATCGAAACGGAGACGAGAGAACACGATGGAGGGGAAATATATTGATATAGAGATTAGAATCGATATTGTGTTTACTTACATTATCGTCTTATATTTGTTGTTGAGCGTATCTTAATTGTTCAATTTTTAATTTTATCCGTATTGTCAACTTCACATTACAAAGTGATTCTCGTTTAATTTTTTGAATATTGCGAGGGATCGTTATAGGGAGGGAGGGTCCCTTATATATATTTTTTCATAATAAGTAAAGTAAGTAATCAATTTATTTTTTTCAATATTTATATTGTATATTGTAATGCAGCGTTCACTTGCATTGCCGCCTTATTGTTGTTGAGCGTATCTTAATTGTTTAATTTTTAATTTTTAATTATTGTCAACTTCATATTACACAACGATTTCTCGTTTAATTTTTGAATATTGCGAGAGATCGTAAAATCTTGGATTTTATATATTTTTCATAATAGTAAATATTTAATTGATTGTTTTTTTCAAGATAGATATATATATTAAAACGTAGTTGTAATTAGCATAGAAATATAAATCTTGTATATTAAATATTTTTTTTCCCCCACAATAGATTTTTAATCCTCTTTTTCTTAGAACGATAAAAAGATAGATAAGTTTAATAATACTGAATTCTAAAATATCGATGATATCGATCTAATTCTATGAAATTTCGAAGTGAAGAGATTAGTTAGATTAATCGAGATTAATTAAAGTAAAAAAAAAAAAAAAAAAAAATTTTACTCGATCGAATTATTTGAAAAAGATAGTACATTCACGAATATACTATATATCGATCGATTGGAATAACGTTTTTATCTAATTTCTATCTGGGAACGAATGATAACGCTAAAAAATAAAGTATAAAGTGATTTCTATCATCATGTCACGCATCATATGCATCGTTTCCCCTTCATTTTCAACCTCCTTTTATCGATTATATTTTCAACATTTTCGCGAGTGATTCGAGTCATTTACAATTTCATAGAAGAGTGAATAATTACAGAGTGAAGGAAATATGAATCGTGGAAACGTACAATTTTTACTTTTACACGTGTCAATCGTTATCGGTGAGTTCATATTGAAATTTATAAACAAAATTCGATCAAATTCGGGTATCGGGTATTGAATTGACACGAAATTTCAGCGTTATCTGTTAACGTTAACGGATCAAAAATAAATGTCTGGCCGTCGTTAATGGATGGAGATGATGGAAATAAACTGGACACTTTCTTATACGTTGTTAACAACACGAAAGGTCAACCGTGCATTTTGGCAAATATGTCAATTAATTTCATGATACCGTATGAAAAGGCAAGAATTAAATACAAAAAAGTATCTCGTGTCCCTATCGATTGGAAATTAATGTTACACAATATAAATAAATATTTCTATCTACTCAGGAAAATAAAAATTTCAATGTTCCAAATGATGCTACGGTACAAGGCCATTGTTCATCTATAGTATCCGAAATGACATTGAGCTGGAAAGAAGGAAAAAGTGATAAAAATAACACGATTAAATTTACGTTCATCAATGATCACACCAATTTCACGGTTTTTTCAATCGAGCTTAATATTTATAAGGACAAAGAAAAATTTCCAAATGGTGAAAAGCACAACGTTTATAATTTTAAATAATTCTTCTTCTTC